AGATGTGGCGATACTGAATGACAGCAACATCAGGAAGAAGGAACACGAGAGAGATGTTAGGTTACTTTTTATACGTTGTTCAGAGACATGCACTCTATGTGGAACATTTAAAGAGTCAAAGTTTCTTCTTTGTAAAAGAAATACAGCTGGTAGGGGAGTGAAAAGCCTTTTTCCACAACAAAAAGCAAAGTCAAAGTAGCCACAGGGTGTGTGATCTGGGAGAGACTCTCACAAGGATGATAAGTTATTTCATTTTTAGCAGAGAGAATGTTGCAATTCAGGATAAATAAGACACACCAGGACAGAGCAAAACTACCAGTAACAACTTTAAACATGGAAAATATTATAATGCTGCAAGCCATATATTATATGCATGAATCTGGGACCTGACTGGTGATGCCATTTCATATACACGCTAACCCACTGAGCTAACCAGGAACCAGAAGTATTTCTTCTGACTTTTCTGCTGTTTAAATAATTTTCCATTTCCAGTCCTTCTCACTCCCTTTTTATTGAGTACTTTAGCATTTTGATTGTTCAGAGATCATATGCTTATGCCTAAAGATGTGCCTCGTTACAGTATGAGAACTGGGGCAAAACTCTTCCATCAATTCAAATTTTACATTCACAGAGGTCTAATTAGAGCCTCGCTCCACTAGGTGGCATCAATATCCAAATAACTGCCTCCAGTGAAACCAGTCCTTCAAGGTTTTATTGAAATGCAGAAAAACATGTTTTTGTAATTCAATTATCTCAGAAATAGTCAATAAAAGGCTCATTATTTCTCACCTTTCACCTCATGCAAAAATGTTGTGACAATGCTGGTGCTGCTTTAGGCTGTCATCTGTGGCTTGTGACACACTATACTGCTGCCTGTTTGAAAGGAGCAAAGGCCCTCACACAGTCAATTAGTAACTTCCCCTTGAACTGTTGTTCAAAGGTTAGGCTACAATGCACATGTGACTGAGGTGCATGAGCAGAAATGTAAAGGGTCAAGATGGTCAAGCATTATTTAGCGTGTGTGTGTGTGTGTGTGTGTGTGTGTGTGTGTGTGTGTGTGTGTGTGTGTGTGTGTAATAAACTAGAAACTGCTAAATTATGAACACAAAAACACAGCGTGGCATGTGTCCCTTAACCACTGGCTGTTTTAGTGACACAGGCAGATGAAGGAAAAGAGGAAAGGGGAAAGAAACAGAAGAGGAGCTTTTCAATGTCAGTTCCGGATCCCAGTGTCAGTCCCTCTCAGTCATTCCTGATGGGATCCTCCCAGCCACAGGAAGACATGGAGCTCCCATCTGTGGCTAAATGCTTGCCAATGCACTGGGGTGTACTAGCGGTCAAGAAATGGGTAAAGGAGACAGTCACCTTTTTGTAAGTTGCTTCCAGTTACACATATCCCTGAGTCCAAGCATGGCTGCTCCTTTCACTGAGCTACATGGAAGACGCTTCTGTTATAAGACAATCAGAATGAAAGACCAGGGCAAGGGTGGCATAACTACCAGTGCTGCCCCTCATTTTGCATGAAATCTGCAGCTATACTTTCAGTGTCAGCAGGCCAGTGTGACGTGCTGATAGTCCCAAAGCCACTCTTTCATCGTAACACACATGGTGTCTCTGTCTTGGGTTTCCTCGCCCTGTGAATCCATGGCAACAGCAGCCTGAATGGTCTATTCAGGACTCTCTACTACGCTCTCCCCTGAAACTATAGAGAAGTAAACAAACGCCATAGTTGGTCTGTTCCAGATGCAGGCACACATTATAAGTAGATGAGTTCTTTTCATAAGACTTGGACAAACAAAATTCATCAGTTCATTTCTGGAAAAACTTAAATTGAAAATCTCATTGTCCTCTGCATCTCAGCAGCCTCCACTGAACTTGCTTCATATGTGCTTCATGTGAGTCAAGAGTGACAGTCAGGCTGGTTTTCACACTGTGTGCATTCGTGCAGATGTGTTTATGTTTGTGGCCAAAAACCTTCATCCCAACAGCAGCCAGACTGTACAATAAGATAAGATAAGATAAGATAAGATAAGAGATAAGATAGAACTTTATTAATCCCTCGGGTGGGTTCCTCTGGGAAATTCGACTTCCAAAAAAAGCACAGCAACGACCGAAGTTACAGTTACAGAATTGTTATATACACACACACACACACACACACACACACACACACACACACACACACACACACACACACACACACACATATAAATACAGAGACAAATATAAATAAAATATACAAAGGGGATAAATAGAATAAATAGGAATGAAAAATAAAAATACAAGTGAATTGCACATTTCAAGTATTGAGTCTATTGCACTGTTGACTATTTACAAAAAGTATTGCACAAGGTATTGTACAGTGAGGTGCAGAGGCACTACAGCTTAGTTGTTCCCCCCTCCTTTGTCCTCCTGTTTCCCCCCCCTCTCCCCTCCAGAGAGGAGTTAAACAGTCTGATGGCGTGTGGGACAAAGGAGTTTTTAAGTCTGTTAGTTCTTGTCTTTGGGAGAAGCAACCTGTCACTGAACAGACTCTTCTGGTTGTTAATGGCCGTGTGCAGAGGATGCCCAGCATTGTTCATAATGTCCATCAGTTTCTTTAATGTCCTTTTCTCTGCCACTGTCACCAGAGTGTCCAGCTTCATGCCGACCACAGAGCTAGCCCTCCTGATCAGTTTCTCCAGCCTGCATGAGTCCCTCTTTGCTGTGCTGCTCCCCCAGCACACCACAGCATAGAAAAGTACTCCAGCAACCACCGACTGGTAAAACATCCTCAGGAGCTTCCTGCAGATGTTAAAAGACCTCAGCCTCCTGAGGAAGTACAGTCGGCTTTGGGCTTTTTTATACAGGTGCTCTGTGTTGCATGACCAATGCATGACAATGCATGACAATATGCACAGAGGATAAATCAGTGTTGAAACAGCTAAAAAAATAAATATGGGTCAAAATGCCCTTGATGCAGTAAAATGAAGTCTTTGTGACATTTCTGTGTATTTTTTTGTGTATTCTTCTGTGTATTTTAGCACATTTTTGGCAGTTTTACTTTTTCCTCATTCATTTATTGTTTTCTACTGTATGTCTAATACAGTGCGTCTAACAAGTGTGAGATTAATAAAGTCTAAATCCATCTATGTTGTAGTAAAGAACAAATGTGATCAGATAAGATAAAAGTAAAGGAGCTTAGATGGGTGGGATCTAACCAATGAAGGGTGTCGATACATAAGAACATATAAGAAGAGTTGGCCATTCTGACTCAGTTATCTTTATTTTATTTTATTAGATATCCATTAGTCAGGGCAGCACGGTGGCACGGTGGTTAGACCTTCTTGCCGCACAGCAAGTGGTGGAGTTCAATTCCACCATCAGGCCGGGGTCTTTCTGTGTGGAGTTTGCATGTTCTCCCTGTGTTTGCGTGGGTTCCTTCCAGGTACTCCGGCTTCCTCCCACCGTCCAAAGACATGTAGTTAATTGATTAATCCAAATTGCCCATAGGTGTGAATGTGCGAGTGAATGTGAGTGCGAATGGTTGTCTGTGTCTGTTAGCCCTGTGACAGACTGGCGACCTGTCCAGGGTGTACCCTGCCTCTCGCCCAGCACCCCCTTGCGACCCTGAAAAGGTGAAGCGGATGGATGGATAGATATCCGTTAGTCATGCTATGAATCATCATCTTTCGTATAAACACTGAATCCTGTTTGTTTGTTTTTTAATGAGCAGAACTGGCTTAGTCTCTGTTGTTGTTCAGTTCTCATCTGCAGGGAAGAACAACAATAATCTGATCAGATGTTCACCACCTCAAATTTAATCCCCCTATAACACACTTTATGCACAGTAATCTTGGAGGATGGTACCACAGCTAGGCATCTTGACACATGATTGACTAATACATGCAGATCTAGTCGTTTTCTTGCGATGTCTGTTTCCTCAGAAGCTATAATTGCTGGCTCGACAGAATAACATTTCTGCTGAAAGGTCAGCTCACTTAAGAGATGGCTTTCCCATAATTCAGTTTTATGTTGAGCAATAAGGTTACATCCTCTGCCAACAGAAATTGTGGATGTAAAAAAGGGAAATGAATACTCACTAAAATGCCTGCACACTCCACCCAACACGTATTGCATGCATTTGAACAAAACAGAAAATTTCTGCTATTAGACTTTCTAACCATAATATTTCACACATTATAATTCCTTTGACTGCCAAATTATAGAAAATAGATTCTAGTCGTCATGTGAATTCATAGGTATAGATTTCAGGGAGAACACAAGGGGACACAGCCTTACAAATATGTAGGACACACAAAGTTAATAAATAAATAAATAAATAAAAAGCTGTAAAACTACTGAGGAATGTGTTGACGTGTTAAGTATACTTTTACAATTAAAGACATTTTCTTGATAAATTAATGCAGGGGCGATTTCAAAAATTCACCAGAACAAGTCCCCCCAAACCCCAAGGCTGAAATTAAACAACACAAACACAATGGCCTGTATCAATAGGCACTGTAGTGAAAACTTAGTCCTTTAATGTGAACCATGCTGTGTACACTGCGTACTGACCAGTAAGTTCTTGTCAAGGATCAAGAAAATATATATTATGATAAGGAAAGAATCTCCTCTGCGCATTTAAATCGTAATTTAAAGTAATTTAGCGCTGTCCCGTAATTAGAATAAAGTTGAATTACTCGTTTGAGTACCGAGTGATCGGATTGGCTGAGAGGAACAAGTGTACAGCTACTATACACCGCGTAGGAATGACGTTAATTTAGAAAGACGAATGATGTGGCAAAAATCAAAGGGCGAACAGAAAGAAGTAGTCCCACTTTTACGTTTGTTCTCATATATTTTTATGCTGAAGTTCATTGTCTTATTTTGATATTTTAAAGAACAATTAAAATGTTATAAATGTTTCAAACAAACGGCAACATACTAAGCACAGTTCACGTTTTAAAAGTCGAAATACGTATCCATCCGCCTTATTGAGTGCACTTCCATTTCCGGGATGTTTTCTCTGCTGACCAACCTCCACCGCCATTGCAGGTCCAGGGAGTCGGTGTAGTGACAGTCGTTAGCCGGGGAAGACCGCAAGTAAACAGTTAAGGGAAGGAATAAAAAACAAATAAAGTACAGTCACACCGACAGCGCGTTTTAAATAAGGCGTAGAATTCGCTTACAATTGGACTTTAGACTAGAGACTTCCTGGCTGTCCGGCTAGGATCTGAGAGAAGCAGCCGTAGTTTGTTAGCATTAGACGAGACCGGAGGAGAGTGAGAGAGGAACCGCCATGGCTCAGATCCTGCCTATTCGCTTTCAGGAGCACCTGCAGGTATGTGAATCAATGAATGGTTAAATTGTTTGATCAAGTTCATCTTTCGGTCGCAATAACTGCCAGACTGGCTGTCGCTTCAGAGACTCTCAACACAAGTTTGAGATTGCTAGCAAGCTAAGTTAGCGTTTGGTGCTACGCTAACTAGCTTGACAGGGTGGATGACGTTTGTCTTGGCTAGTAGCATCAAGCATTCTTGCTAACACTTTGCTTACCCACCCTCGTTCGCTTCTTTAAGTCTGAAGTACAGAAATACAGCTTATAAATAATGCTAATAGGTCGTAGTGATGAACGGAAATATGTGTTTACCATTTCTCATAAGTATTTGCCCCATTCACAGCAAAAGTGTTCATTTTCTCGGAGTGGCTATTGCTGTCGTTGGTATTAATCGTCACTATCAGTGCCTTGTAATCGTCTGATTCAGAAATGAAATAGTTATCCTTATTGTCGCCTGTTGCGACACCGCTCAATCGATTTCTTCAAATCACCATACGGCGCAAAAAAAAATATTAAAACTTCTACACCCGCCTTATTTGTCTGCGCCCTGATTATATGTACCGTCGTGTTAATTTGAAAGTGATTATTTGACCTTAAGGGGATATCACGTTGGCTGGTTGTACAAATGATCATGTGGTATGTTAGATAGCAATCCAGCGCCCGTGCTGAATGACTTTGCCAAAGTTAACTGTGACTCAAGAATTCACGGAGCCTCCTTTTCTATTCAGTACTCTTTCTTTTTATCTCCGAGGCACACCTTTATCGCAACGGAGCTGCTATTAAAGATTTTTATGCTATTTGTAAGTTCTTCCTTTTTGTGCACCCCCACGTATTACCTGGATTGTACGTACTTCATGCTTTAAATGGCCACACCTTTACTATAATGCCAATAAAACTGCTTTCAGGTCAGGTGGAGGAAACAGGAAGCCTATGGGTCAGTCTAAAGTGTTCCTGACTTTCAAGATGTAATGAATAAAACATAGACTTTTCGTGTCTAAATCAAGCTTCAAATGGGAACTCTGATCCACCCAAGTCTGTATTTGGTCTTTATTAAACAATTATCTCTGTTATCCAATGACTAAAGGCTTTGGGTGTCACATGAGACTAATAATTTGGTGTCAAGAAAGACATTTTAAGCTTTGATCAGTAGAACTGAGTTGTAAAAAGGGGGTCAGGCGTTATGTTCATTGGCTCAGTCACAGGTTAGCTGAGTGGATATTTGAACACCAGGTTCCTGATGTTACTTTTTCTTGCTGTTCAGACTCTGATCCTAATTGCATGTCTTAAGAGATTAGCAGTGTAGTAGTATGGTACCGCTGTTCTTGTTCATAGCAGGTAAATGCTATGGGTTGGCCAGACTGTAATTTGTGTCTGATAAATCTGTTAAACCAAAGATGATTAACATTTTCAGTACAGCGCAGCATTCCCTGTTACTACATTCTTAATTCATAAAGAAGTTAATTCATGTCACAGACATTGATGAGTTAATATGTAGGCCTATCACATGGGGTTGTATGGAGGCTGAGCTTCACAAAGCTATGCAAAGACCTTTTGTGCCTAGAGTTACAATGAAATTATTATTGAATGATTTTTGACATGCTTATTAAGTCCTTTTGGTTGTAGAAGCAAACAGAGCAATACAAAATTGGCAAATTGCATTGTGACTTAACTAGTATTTTATCTTTAGTGAGGGGAAAAAGCGCTGTCATCCCCTAACAGTGCATCTTTCGCTTTCAAATGTGATGACCATTTAATTCATTGAAATCACAAATTTCACAGTCAGCTGCAAGGTGAATGTATTTTTTGTGCTTGTTCTTTGGTCCATCTTTAAAAACTGACGCTATAGCTTTTAATTAATGTACTGTACTGTAATTCTCAGACTCACCAGGTTATGTTATGTGACAAACACAAAGAGATCTTCAGCACATATCACTAATGCATGACCTGCATATGCGGTTTCATTCATGATGCATATGGAGTTTCTGAACAAATGCATGGTAGAATCACTGCAAGAATTTCTTTCACTTTTGACTTGGTCAAACTCTTTAGCTGTCCGTTTAATTATACTCATGAAGTAATCTTTTTTTTCTAATTATACCAGCTAATGGTTACCACTATTATGAGTGTGTTTAAGCTTGGATTATCTGTGAGAAACATCTTATATCTTTCTTAGTCCAATTACTGAAAAACCAGATGAAGCTGAACTCATTTGATCAAATGAGTAACTGTCAGTGCCTGGATGCAAATCTGTCGTTTCACCTTATGGTTGATGTTCTTTTTGCTTTGTTCATGTGGAGCAGAAATATTTACATAGTGCTGCTAGCCGTGTTTTATTTCTTAAGCTAGTTGGCAGGAATCCATCCAATATAAGATTGTGGCCCAATGGTGATATTTTATAATTAGTACTATTGTGATCACTAGCCAGTGCCAAAACCATTTATACTTTTATTTTATGGATAAATAAAATATAAATTGTGCCATGAATACAAGAATGTTAAAAAAAATTCAGCTTCTCTATCGTTGCATAACATATGAATCATCATCACATCTCATTTTCCAATAGGCTAATCTAAGTCCACAAAGCTGCCTACCAGTGTTCAGCTTATATTGTTGCATTTCTTTTGGGTACTAGTTAGTAGTAAATCACCGTATAGGCACTGTTTGAGTCTACACCACTGTGTGCTTAGCTGTGATTAACAATGGATTCGGAGCCTGTTAGACAGACTTGAAATTACCTCTGGTATCTCTTTTTTGTTTGTTTAATGTCTTAGGCTGAAAAATTGGATGTATCATAAAACATTCTTTGTGCAAATATGCATATCTCAGTTATGGACCATTATAGCTCCTTCACATCTAGCTCTACTGCTTTATTTATACTTTAGACTCAAATGTCCACGGTGAGACCGTCCTGATGTCAGGTCATGGTTTATGCTTTTGTTTTTCACCCGTGAATTCTCAACCAAGCGAGTTCAAATACAGACAGACTTTAAGATTTGCTTTAGTGTTAAGTCAAAGTCAAACCCAATTTCAATCACTCACACAGTTTTGCATCATGATGTATGCAGGGATATTGTTTTCAATGCCATGTTCAAGGTTTTTTTTTTTTTTTTTTAAAGCCTAAAAGTGATTTTGGATCACCCTTCAAGGCTGCTGGGTGTCACCAGTGTTGGGTGATAGCTTAATTATTTTGCTCATTATTCATATTCTGACCAAACTGACATAAATGTCACGAACAAACTGGATGTTTGCTGATGTTGTGCTTAAATGGATATTTAAAGGTATGCTGGTTAATCAATTAGTCGGCACAAAGCTTGAATAAAAGCTTTAGATTAATCAGTAACTAAAAATTATACTTGAAACCACATTAATTTGGTTCTATACTTTTGAATCTGAACTTTTATAGATGTAAAACATGTCGAAATAGGATTGTTGCATTAATCATGTCGATTTTACTGGATCTGAATTGGAGAGCTGAGGCACTGAGCTAGCAATACATGTTAAACTTGGTAGTCTCAGTCTTTGCAGTTTCCTCCCTCCCTTGGTCTCCCTCACACTATCCATCTGTGTGTCATCCGGTCTACTTGCACATCTTGCATTTTTATATATCATCCATTTATATAGTGTAGTGTTGACTCCAGTCAAACAGACATGATAGCATAAGTGACAGTGTCACATCTTTCCCTCACGTGGTATAACCTTCAGTTTGCCATTCAGAAAAAGAGATAATTGTCATTTAGGTTTTAGTGGTGTTATTGTTCTGACAGAAACCAGTCTCAAAGTAAGCATGGGAGTGTAATCTGTAATCTTCAAAAATGGCTCCAGTTTGCGTAATGGCAACATGGTATCATTCTCTGTTGATGAAGACTTCCATTTTGCATTTAGTAAGCAGGGTTTGACAAGGCAGGCTTCCTATCCAGTGCCCAAAGATAATCTGATGATATGTAGGGAAAACCATAGATTGTGTGTTGAGTAAATACAATATTTCACATGCACAAGTCCATAATTGCATGTTACTCTTATCTACTTTTGGTGTACACAGATTTTTTTTTGTCTTGATGTACACAGTAATTTGTTACATTTGCAAAAGATGTCTTCATTTATCTCCCTTGGTTAAGATTTTGAATTGTACTCGAGCTTTTTCTATTGTCTTTTGGTATATACTGAAAACACTGCATTAAAATACACTATGACAGAAAATGTATACATTTCCGTAATTGGGCTTTTAGTAACAAATGCATGACAGCAGGCCCACAATATAGTGAAAATTTCAAAAAGTTTCTCTTACTTGTACTAGTCTAATTAGAATACTAATTATAGCTCAGTGTCATTATATTACTGGACTAGGCTGTCTTTTACAGTTGTACTAGCTTCTTTTCCTTTGAAAGAGTTTGATATTCACAAAAAATTGTCATTTAGATAAATTTTGCCCTACATAGGAAGACCTTGAGTTAAATATACAAATTTACGCAGGGTGCAAGAAAGAAGAGGATGTGATTATTAGTGGTGATCTTTCAAATAAGTGTTGTGGTTAGCTTTAAATTAGCTGTTTGTAGTCTGCGAAAGGGTTTAGTTCCCTGAAAACCTGACGCTTTGTATCTAAAGTTAAATGCACTCACAATAGTATTTAATAGCAAATTGATTTAGTTCAAAGCAAATACTTGTACATCCCTTCTGTTTGCCTGTTGAGGAGGGGCAGGTTGTTTCATGCTTTTTACAAAGGTTTGCATGTCACACTTTGACCTGTGCTAGTAAATGACCACCTGATACCTCGTGACAGGCTGGCAAGGATACAGATTTGCTGAACACTTGACATTCTGCAGCAGCCTCTAAATGTAAGATAAAGCTCTCATTTAGGGAAAGAAGGAAACTGTAGTCTCACAACCACCTCAGCAAGAAATGACCTGAACTGGAGACAGATGATGTTCAGAACCCCTTCCATCTTTTTTCCTTTCTAATACTATAATTGTAAAGGCAGCACTTTTTATGCCTCACCCATGATCCCA